TGTGTGTCAGGCGGCTGCCTGATGACATTTATACTAATGACCCCTAAAACTAAACTTTAAACAGATTAAACATCATTTTGCCAGTACTATGGTTCCTTAGATTTGTACATATTTACATATTTACTACTCAGTGTCAGTGGCAGAGTAATTACTGCCAGTTCTGCACCCGCTGGCCTCAGCGTCACACAGACGGCGAGACGGTGATACCGCTGTCCCACAGCTGCCCCTGCAGTCCTGGCAGGGTCGGGGGGGAGGGTTACCTCATTGATGGCCAGCTGTTCGCCCGCGCCGCCCGAGTGGCCACAGCGAGGCCCTGAACCCCGAAGGCCCTCGTAGGCGTCCTCCTCACTGCCCGCCTGGCCCCCCAGGCCAACCTGCTCCGGCGTGCCTTCAGGAGTCACCATGGCTAGATGGACGGGAAGGGAGAGAATGGGAAACCACACTCAGTGTGTGAAGCTACATCATTTATACAGAATAATACAAAAACTGGAAAAAGGGAAGGTAAAGAAGGGAAAGAAGAAGAATGAAATTTAGAAAGCCAGATGACAACGAAGGAGAGGGTTCCAAGGTCAACTGGCTGCCCAGCCCCCCCTCCAGCCTCTAATCATAGCCCCACCCTGCACCTGCGTGGGACCACACACAGTCGTCTAGGAAACATCATAGCCCAAAGGCTGTGGGTCCAGTGAGGGCCTAATCCTGATTGGTCCAGCTGTTTCAGCTGATCACCTCAGTGTTACACTGTGGTCTGTCTGGGAATACAGTGGCGGTTGATATGGCGATGATACGGGTTGTGGCCTGTTGAGAAAAACACCGAACTGTGGCTGAGCCTTCTCCAGGGAGTGCCATTAGCCGCCTACTAAAGCCAGATGTACCAAACACTAGATCGCAAACTGGTCAAATGTGGCCTTTTAGTTATGACTGGAGTAATTTCAAAATGGTAACCAAAGGGAAACGATTACCAGGAGGGGGCAGTAGCGACCACAGAGAGACAGTGGCTGCTGGATGCCCACCAACTGCAGACCTCGATGACCTCCCTGCTCAAGGCTCACAGTGCCTAGGTGACCACCCACTGTGCCCGGGCCGCTGATGTGTAACCGTGGCAACCTTCGCGAAGGTTGGGACAAAAGAGACCAAACTCAAATGAGCCAAAGCCAGTTGCTATGAAGGTCATGTGACTGTGACGTGCATATTACTGCCCCCTGGGACGTTCCTGACTGCACTGTACTCTTCACACACTGCTTCTGAAGAGCAGACCTTCTGAGGTGTCTATCCCCCCTTCTCACTTCAATTTCAATTGATCTCGGGCTAAATGCTGAGATTCCCCCGGGAATCCCCTCCCCCGGGAGCTGACACCCCACACCCTCCACCACTGAAACACAGCAGCCCAGGCTCCTGCTGGATGGATGGATGCTGACACTGGCACCAACTTCCCTCATTATTATACTCTCAGAAGTTCCCTTTCCCCTTCAGGCAAAGGTCGCTTAGGTTTGAATCTCTGGGATCTCTGACAGGCTGGAGAACCTTCCCCTGTTTTAAGCAGAAGTGCCCTGTGATCCTGGGCATTGCTGCGTGTGAGGAAACGCCTCATGGGTGGGCTGGCAGGGAGCAGGAAGGGGTCATGTCTCTGGTTTTCTCACTGTTGTACATCCATGACAGGCAGATGATGGATGCCAGTCTCCAGGCTAAATGTAGCAACCTGAACCCACATCACATAGCACTGAGACAAACACACATAGCAGCCAGCTACAGTAGTGACCGCAAAGCACACAGGAATGGGGTGGGGTGGGGGTGTGGTGGGGAAGTAGATGCACGTAGGGATTGACAGGTCCCAACTGGGAGTGTCAGAAATCCCCGGCTGATTTACAGTTTTAGAGGGGAAACACCCACCCCACCAGAATGCAGCCTTTATACCATAGTGGGCAGGGTTAACATGCTCTGCCAATCACGGATGAGGCCGCCGACCAGAGCTAATGTGCTCTGCCAATCATGTTAGTCAGCTCACTGGGGATAATGTGCTCTTCCAATCACGGATGAGCCAGCCCACTGGGGTTAATGTGCTCTGCCAATCATGGTTGAGCCAGTTGACTGGGGTTAATGTGCTCTGCCAATCACGGATGAGCCAGCTGACCGAAAATAATGTGCTATGCCAATCATGGATGAACCAGCCCGACGCCCATTAGATGCTTTTTTCATTCCTTTTGGGGGAGGTAGCCTGCATTTAGTGGTAAGGTTAGGCCATGCGGTGACTCTAGTGGCCAGGAAGATATTTGCAGTCTGTTTATTTTTATGTAGGTGTTCTGGCAAGATATGTGAGAAATAGTGAGGTCCAGAGATAGTCAGAAATAAAACAAAATAAAAATAAAAGGCCAGATTAAGGGCTGCCTCATTGGTAGGAGCACAGCACATATCCAGAGGACAAGTTTAAACTGACACCAACTTTTCCAGGGAGCATAATGGGACAGACATAGCTGCAGATAGACCTTCACAGCGGCGTGGCGTTTATGTAACAAGGGAAGATCAGGGTCGCCTGGCCGTGACCAGCTAGCATGGCGGCCTTCGTGATTTACACCCCAGCGGTGGGGAGGCCTCGCAGAGCAGCGTGCATCCTGCTCTTCATCACGGTTACGTAAAGGTCAGAATTTAAAATGGACATTCAGATGTGGACACTGCCTCCAGCTGAAGTTCAGGCCTAGAGGAACCAGACTGAGGTGAGGAACCTGAAAAGAAGCATAGCTGTGAAGGTCAAACACCTGCTGGGTTGCGCCGCTCCGTTTCTGAGTCAGCGGTGAGGGGTACTGGGCAGCTGGTGAGTGCGTAGAAATGACATGCAAGCAGCCGTGAACACGCTCAGCTCGTCCTGAAGCTGAAAGTGGCTACATGCAGACGTCAGCAAATGCAGCAAAGTGTGAGGATGGAAGCCCATAGCACCTGATCGCATCTGGAAGTCAGCTCTGAAATCCCTGTAGGCACCGAGAGAGAGCTTCTGAAACACGCTGAGTCTTCAACAGTCTGTTTTTCACTTTTAGAGGCTGATTTAATGTGCACGCCTGTAAACCCTGCTCTCTGCTTGTATCTGCTGGTACATTTGGGGACACACACTGTTACCGAAATATTGGTTTAATGATAATATATGAAACAAGTAACAAGATGGATTAACCATAAAACACAAAAGAGAAGAGTCATGGAAATGCTAAGGATAAACATAGCAGGGTCCACAAGAGGGCAGCATGGTGTGCTTCTGGCCCACGCCGCCATGGGAGGAGACCTCCGGCTCCCAGCAAAAGCAGGAAACACCCACTGATTAAGCCGTAGTGGGATTTAAACGGCTTGCAGGGCGCTGCTCAGACATCAGGCTCTGACAGTCAGTTCAAGTTGTCCTTTTAGATTCTGGTTAGAGTTGTTTTGGGCTCTGGTTAGAGTCTTTTTGGGCTCTGGTTAGAGTCTTTTTGGGCTCTGGTTAGTGATATTTTAGTCAGTTTAAGTTGAGGATTTGAGGGCCCCAGTTAAGTATTTGGTTGTCATTTTTTGCTTAGCAAGCTTATCCCTGACATTTGAGGGCAAAGGCTGTTACAGAGGAACTAATCTTTTCCTAAAATGATACAATTTTGTGGATTCAAGCACTGCGGGAGGCAGAGCCTATAGGGACCAAGCAGGGAACAAGCAAGGATGTGGCACCAACCCATCACAGGGCACCTACAGGCAATTCCAATTAATATCACCATGTGCTTAAAATGATGCTTACAGAAAGTTTGCTGTTCTTTCTTTCTCCCCCTTTATTTGCTTGCATTTTGCTCCTTTTAAACCATACCAGTGTACCTCTTTATCGACTTCCTGCTGTTCCCTTCTAAGAGCTCTTTGTCTGAAATCGAGGCTCATTCATTTTCCTGCCTCACTTCACCTACAGTATAAGTTACCCTTCCTTCACTGTGGGCTGCCCTATATGAGCGAGTCCCACAGGAGGAAAACGAGAGGCGCATGAATGATGAGCCTGTATATGTTCTGGAAAAAGCATCACGCTGATTCTCATGCTAGAGAAGGGTATGTCTGTACTAGTACTAGGGTTTGCGGGGGGTTCATGGGAATGCAAACAGATAATCCGTCAGCACCCCGGTCCAGATAAGTGGCCCAGCTTGTGCTGCCCTCTACCCCAAAGACCAAAACCTTCCATAATGTGATTAATCGGGGTGGGGGGGATGTTCATCTTGATGGTTTGAGCAGGACATCCCGTTTTCCCAGCAGCGTTATTCCTCAGAGATTCCTGAAGGCTGTCATGAGGACAACTGCATAGCATCACCCTCGACATGCTGCTTAATCCTCCCGTTATTCTTTAATGAGTCGAGGTCCCAATGTTATGCTCTCTGAGTTTTGTGGTTGTTTTTGGGGGGAAGTGCTTTTTTTATTCTAAATTTTTATGTAGACCAAGAAGTCGACAGCTGTGGAATCTGAGGCTGTGTCCAGCACAAAAGGCCAACCAGATGCCCTTCATGTTCCCAAAAGACTTGACTTGGACCAGAGAAGGGATTCAGCTTGGAATAAGCTGACTGTTACAATGGGGAAAGAGAGAATGATCCACGGAGCAGCCCCAAAGAAAAGTGGTTTATTAACAAATCAGAAAAATTAAGAACAAACTAAAGCGGTTACAACGTAATACACTTAGAAACAGAGAGAACTGGAAGCCAGCCTGAGAGACAACCAAAGCTACCAACGCAGAGAAACAACAACAAGGACAGACTAAAGAACAGAATGAGGCAATTAAATCGACACAAGGGCTAACAAGGAGCAGGTTTGGAACATAACCAAAAACAACCAACCAGCAAAGGCACAGGACACCAAGCAACAAGAGAAGTAAATTACAAACAAGCACAGTTAGGGTAACACCAAGAAACCTAGGAAACATATACTAAGGGGTAACAACACTAGGGAAGACTAAGGACATAGGTCTAAGCAGGACAAAATTAAGCGCAAGCAGGATAAATCTAAAACAAGGGCAAAAAGATGTGCAAAGGAAAACATCAATTTAAATAACAGGGGAGGCTGACTTCTGGTGAGGTTTGAACTCATAACTGGAGGAGTTCAGCTTCTAAGTCACATGCTCAACCCACTGAGCTACACAGCAGCCCAGGGAGCTGGGCAACACATTAGGGGCTGAAGGGCTACAAGACAGAGAGGGGGGAAGCAGGACAACCAGTGACACCTGCTGGTCAAAAGGGGTAAGATACAAAGGACAGGGTCAGACGGGCACCAAATACCATACTTTTTGTACTTTCTCTTTTCCATTGACTTCTGGTTGAGTACCAGTAACCAAAAGTTCCAGTGCGAAAAGTGCCAAACCAGCTCGGGTACTTTTTTGGTACTTTGGGTTGGGACTTGAAATGCTTTCTTTGTCGACTGGTTATGCAAATAGGC